TGTATACATACAATTTAGAAAACATAACATAATGCTCCATGCTTTTAACATGTCATTTTATAACGTGCAATTCATACAACAATTACTTTAATGGACATACAAAATAATCTAAACATAACATCACATCACAATATATCGTTGTTGGGTTTTATGTCCTAAAACTCATAGTTTGTAAACAAAAACATATTCTATTTCCAATCAACTTATTATTGTTGTTTATTCAGTAAAAATTGTTATTGAATAAAGTGAACTTTACGATCATTAATCTAAATCCAATAAACTAAGAAGACTCTGACTATAGTATGATTACTTGAACTATATGTAAAGACATAAGAGTTGATCAAATTCAAGTATATAGTCAAAATGATCTATAATATAAGGATAAGGCTGAGTACCTTATTCTGGGGACACTATGGATGCGGCTCACTTTTGTATATGATATAAACAATGTGATCACTAAAATTGTACATGTGGAGACATGTGAGTGGGGGCATCCTATGCAATGAGTATTGCATAAGATCGGACCATGAAGAAAATCACTCTCACTTTATAATGTCGTTTACTGTTGAGACTGATTTTCTTTTCATTCGATGACCTAGGTTAACTCGATCTTAATTCTGAGCTAACCATGAACTCCTGCTTATTCGGAATTATCCTTAGATTTGCATGGGTGAGAGTGACTCAAGTTCGCCGAGTCAATAGGCCTCCAATTTCAAGGGTAAGACACTGGGTAAATGGTTGGGGACGTGGGGTGCAAGATGGAACTCACTCCTACCCACTTTTAAGGATAGAAGAGAGGTAGTTCCCTTAAGTACTGACTCTAGGTTTTGAATAAGGGGCCTCACCCTTTCATTGGCCTAAGAGGGATCCGGTTTACTAGTTGGACCACAAACCAATTGTTCATTAGAGGATCAGTGAGACATAAGGAACAAGAAGTAACTTCAGGGGTAAAATGGTAAATTGACCCAGCTCTAGTTACGAACAACCTGTGAAGGATCGACTTACTAATCATGGTTATATCAAATGGACAAAAATATATCTATAGTGAGGGGAGTGCAACTACTAGGCTATAGTGGAATGTCCTAGTAGTTAACGAATGTTGGTTAACAAGGTTAATGAGTTTAACTGGTTAATCTTGGATCGTTGGAGCCCATGATTTATAGGTTCATTAGGTCCCTCTGCTAGCTCATATCGAACTAAACCATAGAACAGTGTGACGAGTGAGTTCGAAGTGTTCGAATTCAAATTAGGGAGAATGCACTACATATATACGATATATTTAATCGCATTTTTGTTTTATTTTACGAATTAAACAAAAAGAGAGAATCTGAGATATTTAAATAAGATTTAAATATCTTAATTAAATATATGACGGAATTAATTGGGATTGACATTTAAATTAATATTAAATATTAATTAAATAGTTTAATTAATCATTTAATATTACTTTAATTTGAAATTAATAATTCAAATGGATGGTCGAATCAAAATGAAGAAAGTCAAAATGTTGACTTCATTTAATGAAAAAATCCATGTTAGTGGAATTTTGAGGTGTCAAAATCTGTTTTAACCAAACTTGCATGCTTGCCAAATAAATCCCACAAATTTGAGTGTCAAAATTTGGTTAACTCAAGCATGCATGCTTGCCACATAATCCCGAACATTTGAGTGGAATTTTGAGTGTCAAAATTTGGTGATCTCAAATTTGCATGAACATGCAAACATGACTCTATAAATAGAGTGATCATAATACATAAAATGGGTTCTTGTTGGTGAAAAACCTTGAGAAAAACCTCTCACAAACAATCTCTTCATATATACAAAATCTCTCCCAAGTTTAGTCACTCACCGGATTCCACAATTTCTTTCTAATGCCGAAGGATAGTAGAGAAAACACTAGTGGTAATTCGAAACCGGTTCGTGAGGAAAAAGGAATTTGAATTACAAAAGGTTAGTATTCAAACTCATTAAGTTTTAATACTTATGAACATGCTAGTTATTTACTATAATTGATGTTCTAAAAGTGCCTAACATCCAAATTGATTCCACAATCCCGTTCTAATGCCGGAGGATAGTGGAGAAGACACTAGTGGTAGTTCGAAACCAGTTCGTGAGGAAAAAGGAATTTGAACTACAAAACGTTAGTATTCAAACTTATTAAGTTTTAATACTCATGAACATGCTAGATATTTACTATAATTGATGTTCTAAAAGTGCCTAATATCCAAATTGCTTCCGCATGTGTTATATTAACATCTTCAATCGTATCATAAACATGTCATATCATAAACATTTTGTGGTCATATGGCTCCTTAACTTGTCATAGCTTTAACGTTTTTATACCTATCACAGTCATATCGTTACGTGAACGTACCTTAGTCATATCATCACAGGAACGTATCCTAATGCTATCGTTCTATTAATCTATCACAATCTCATCCCTTTCTACCCATATTCTAACCATATTCTTTCATCATCTCTCCTATCCATAGCACTTCAATATGTAACCTAATCTTAATGTTTCATGAATGTATCTTACTCCTATTGTTACATTTCATTTTGTGCACCCTTCTCGTATCCTATCTCAAACATATCCTTAACACATCGTACCATAATTATTATCATACAATTCACATATTATAACATAACATAAACATAATATAAGCATATTGATTCATAGATAATTCACACATATCAGTATATATGACACGTACTTATATGTGTGACAATATCAAATATAACCATGCCGATAGTAAGGCCACTTATCTGGTTAGCTTAAGTTGTTGTCACGAATATATCTTAATGAAAGTTTGATTTTGTTCTTTGAAATCTAAGTTAACCTATGTGAGCTCATGACATCCGTTTCAAGTTTGAACCCTATAAAATTATTTCTCTAATTTACATTGGTTCATTCTTAAAAGTCTTGAAATGTTATATCTTTATAATTATATTTTTATTCTGCTTGTATTTACTTTTCTCTCTATATTTAGTTTATGGTTTTTAATTTCTCAATCTTCATTTTTTTTTTAATATGTATTTACTCTTGCCTTTTAATTTTGTTATCATGTATTCTAAATTTCGAGTGAAACCTTATTTCCAAATCTTTCCTTATCTTAGTGTTTCCTGTTCACAAATTTTCTTGGTCATTTTATTTTTAATCTATTCATTTGACTACCGATATAAATTTAATTTAATATCACTAATCTAACATAATTTACTAGAATTCGTATAAATGATTGACATTTAGTTTCTAACTCAGAACTAAACTGTAATAATTGAATGAAGATATAACTATAATTGGTTGTGATTTGTAAAAAAAAATAAAAAAATGAAGATTTAATATAGATCAGATCTAGTAAATCTCCCGCGAATCTCAATTAGGTAAAGGTCATTCCCATCTTTTTCCCTGATAATTGTTGTTTTTGAGTGAATCTCAATTGGGTAAAGATCATTCTCATTTTTTCTCAAATAAATCTGACAATTGTTGAGGGAAGGGATAAGAGGTCAGTGGGGGAGGAGTGAGAAAAATGTTGTTTCTTTTTTTTATTATTTATTTATTATTATTATTATTTTAACTATTTTTTATAATTATTTTTATTTATTTATTTATTTATTTTGGGATATTACATTTGGATTGGGTGTGAAAATTAATCATATACCCCTAATTTTTATTAATAAAAATGAGGTGAAAAAAATGATTAAAAAATTTTGGGCAGAAAATGATTTTTTTTTCAATTAAAAGAAATGTGGTCCCCACCACCAAGGAAACATAACTGATAAGAATCCGGACACGAGGGAATGACGGGCGACGTCCTCAACAAAATTTTAATTAATTAATTCGAAAATTCTAATTCCACTTTTTGACGGTTAGAAAAAAAAAAAAAAAAAAGTTAATAAATAAAAACTTTCCCCAGGGGAGGGTAATATGGTAATTGCACCGAAGTGAAATTAAGTGCAGGACACGTGGTTCACATGCAATGCATAGACTTTGTAAAAATTTTGTAACGTTTTTTTTATCCTTGGGAATTGGAAACTTGGAAAATGCCAAATTACCTAATATATTATTTATTAAGATTTTATCAAATTATTTAAAGAAAAAAACAAAATTATAATTAAAATTTTAAAATATAGCCAAGGTTTAGAAAACAAATAATAAAATAATAAATAAATAAAATTAGAGAGCAACTTATTTTATTTATTAACCTTTTGAGTTTCGAACTAGAAATTTTTTCACTATTGTCATGATTTTCATCGTGCTACTTGTAGGTAACAAAGGAGAGTGCTCACTACCATCAGGTACACACACAATAAAACACGAGACAAAATAAATATGGGTGATCTCACAACTGCTCGTTCGCACACTCCGTCGAACGCTAGAGTTCAATTTACAATATAGTCAATTTGATTGAATTACACTATTTTGATCAAGTTCAATTGGACCAACTTGATTTCGTTCGGTTTTCAAGGCTAGCGAACTTGATAATCCTCGTTTCTAAGCTAGAATTTTAATAATTAAGGCTGATTTAGGATATTTGAGCTTGAGCACGAGATGGTTGATCAATGTTTGCAAGTTGGATAGAAGCACAAGTTAGTTGTTCTATCTCGAGTATTAATTATAATTCTTTTGATTTACTGTATATATTCGTTGGGTGTGCATATCTAAACCTAAAAAAATAGCTATACAAATGAAATTGTGATCGCATTTCCCAGGTAACACCAAACACCGAGTAATTCTATTTTAATTTTGAATTAATTTTAAAATATTAATTAATTTATAATTCTATTTGAAATAATAATTTATAATTTATAATTTTGTTTTTGAAGGGATAAAGATGAAATAATATAATAATAATTATAGCCTTCTAAGGAAGGTAATAATAGTATTTTACGATTTTACCCCTCAGAACAATCCCGTCTCTCGCTTTCGCAGGTAGTCTTTTAAACGTCCTTTTAGTGTTGACCTGTGTCTCTATATATATATACTCAATATTTTAAGGCTTTAAGCTTTACTGATGAAATCATTCCAAATTCTCTGAATCAGACGTTGAAAAGGGAAGGTGTTGAATTGTTGGGCAGAGGGATTAATCCTCCCCCTTTGTTTCCGGCGGAGGAGGAGGGGCCGGAGATAATCTAGCCGTTGTTTTTCTTCTCCATTCAACGCGAAGCAAGAAATTTTTATTCCTTTTCTCTGTCTTTTCTCCCCTATTTGACGCTGTTTCTGCTTGGATTGCTGGGAAAAATCGAGACGAAAAAGTGGCTGGAAGTTTCTGAAGGTTGGATTAGGGTGGGGCCTCATTGATCGCGAGGCCTGTTCTCGGTATCCCAACGCTATCTCGGGAATTTACGAGCACGAGATCTCTAAAATCGATACTCGTAGGACATCCATTTTCTTTGTCGGATTAATGCTCTGTTTTTCTGCCGTTTTAATCCAGGGATTTCTGTTCTGTTCCTGTTCTCTGTCTTCTTTTTGTTAGCTTCTTCGTTTTCTCCTCTATTACCGTATTGTAAATGCTCTGCCTGTTTGCCTCTCCTTTTTGTTCTTATGTGTTGCTGTTGCGTTTGTTTTCTGCCTGATTATAGCTCGTTTGTAGTTGTGAGGAAGAAATGTTTATGCTCGTTTGATAAAAATTTGCTTATTCTTTAAGAAAAAACAAGCTTATGTTATCAAATGTGTTCTTGATTAATGATTTTAAGAATGTTTTGTGCAGAAGTTTTCATACTAACAATTGATGTCTGCCAATGGAGAAATATTGTCTTTGGCTCAATTTCTTGATTTTGAAGGAATGATATTTTCCTTCTTTCTTTTCAGTGGTTGAAGGAGTGAGATGCATGGATTCTACAATTAAGTTAACATTGCTTCTGATATTCTTCAGAATAGGTTGGAGCCTTAGAATTTAGTCTTTTGTAAGATCATGTTTTCTTGACATTCCTTCGTTGATGAACTGAGTTCTTTCCTTTATATGGCAGCATGTGCTTCAACTGTTGAGAAAAATTTTGAACAGTGTGAAAGGGCTGTCAAAAACTGGGCCTTATCTTCTCTCCAGCAAGGTATCAATGAAGATCAACATACTCTAAAAGATTTACTGTTTTTTCTCCATGTTCCGAGAACAGGAGGGCGATCATACCACCATTGGTAACTTCCAAATCACAAAGTTTTCTGTATATTGACCTCCCATGTATCAGTTTTAGTGTTTATTTGGTTCGCTTTATGGATGCAGTTTCTTGAATAAGTTGTACCCAACCTCTCAGGAGTGTCCCCGTTCTTACGATAAGCTACGTTTTGATCCCAGGTATAATTTTCTTTTTCCAAAGTGGTCATCTGTCTTTAGTTTTCAAAATTTTTCATATGTTAAAAAAGTAGGTAATAAAACAAGGAAAGTTAGATGAAAGTAGACTTTATAAGTGAAAATTTCGAACACCAAAAACCAAATGGTCATCAAACGGGGCTAAACTTTTTGATTCGGAGTAACTGATTATTTAACTAATTTTGTGCGTCGGTATGGTATTTGAATTTGAATTGCAGCAAGGCCAAGTGCAGATTGCTAGCTACTCATGATGATTATAGTATCATGGAAAAACTACCCACAGAGAAAACTTCGGTGGTGACAATTGTTAGGGATCCAGTTGACCGGGTTCTTAGTTCATATGAATTTGCTGTTGAGGTTGCAGCTAGATTTTTGGTACATCCTGACCTAGCTTCTGTGGCTAAAATTTCCGAAAAAATGCTTAAAAAGGCAAATGGAGTGAGCACATTGGATATCTGGCCGTGGAAGTATTTGGTTCCATGGATAATGGGAGACCTATTTGCTCGAGTATGTGTCCTGTTGGCTGATCTTGTGCATTTCATGATGATTTTTTTTGAAAGTGGAGAAAAATAGACTTATCTAGTGAACATCTATGTCTTAGGATTATTATCCAGTGATCTTAATTGTGTTTAAATGGATGCTGGTTCCTTGGTAATTCGGTGAGGCCGCGCCATAACTGCTGCCCCCTTCTTTCCTTATTTTTTCTGTAGCCTGTTTCTTGTATTACCCTGTTTGTTTCATGGTGTATTGTTGAAATGTGTAGACAAATTGTGCAAATAATTTTTTTTCGCATATTTACTGACTACATTCTTATCAAGAAAACATTACTATCTACCAAATGTTTATGAACAGAGAGACACAAGAAGACGGAAGGGTTCAAGTGAAGCTAAGAGGGACAGTCCATATGACATGGAGGACATTCTTATGCCACTACATGAGTTTATTGATGAACCCATTGTTCATGATATTGTTCATAATGGGGCTACTTTCCAGGTAAGTCTGAATTAATGTCAAAATTAAGAAATTCTAAATTAATATGAGATTGTCGCACTCGAGAAAAATGACACTAGGATAGTGACAAATTTTCCTAGTGTTCGAATGGTGGGATTTTTACGGTTGAAAGCTAGAGTTGTTGCTAGAGGATTCACCCAATCCTATGGGGTTTGACTACGAGGAAACTTTAATTTGTTAGCTGAACTCCATCTGCAACCAATCTTGATTAGAGTCAGCAACAATTAAACATAAAAAATGCCCTCTTAAATGGCGATTTAGAAGAAGAGGTATATATGGATATTCTCCGTGGATGTAAAGAAAATATTGACCGAGAAAGGTATGCAAACTTAAGAAGTTCCTCTATGGACTAAAACAATCTCCTTGTGCATGGTTTGGTAGGTTCGCAATTTTTGTTATCATCCTTGGATATTCTCAGTGCCAATCAGATCATACTTTGTTCGTAAAGGGAGATCAGAATCGCAAATTGCTCTCTTAATAGTATATGTTGGTGGTGTCACCCTTTAATCATAATTACAGACTTTGAAGGATCACTTGGCTTGAGAATTCGAGGTCAAGGATCTCAAATATTTTGTAGGTATAGAGGTTGCTCGGTCTCCTAAAGGCATAGTTATACCTTAGAGAAAATATGTGCTAGATCTTCTCAAACAAACTGACATGATTGAATGCAAACCAACAGAGTCTACAATGGATTCACATACGAAACTTGCACTCAATTATGGAAGTGCACCGGTTGGCAGGGGTAGATATCAATGCCTTGTAGGACGTCTTGCTTTTGAGAAGTGTTTCATCTAATTTTCTCGAACCGATCTAACCAAAGATTTTCTTATCTCAATATTTGTATGAATATGATTTAGGAAATTTTCATTGTTGGTTGTTCTCTACGCGGGGATATTTGTTTGTTTGTCATATGTCATCTCCATTATGGTTTCACGTAAACATTATGTGGTTTATAAGATAAAACAGTGATATGAACCAACATTCTCTGCAATTTTCTAAAGAACAATTTTGGTGTTTTCAATCTACTCTAAATTCAATGGACCCGGAAAGTTGGCCAGTTAGTTTAGTTGAGTTTCTGATACCCAATAAGCTCTGTCTTGTTGGGGGCTTCAAGTTAACATATATTTTTTGCGATGCACTTTCTCGTTCTTTTCAAAATTTTCAGATAGCGGGATTGACAAATAACTCCTACCTAGCTGAATCCCACGAGATCCGGCATTGTGTACAGGAACATAAGAGTCTTGGTCAACACGTGCTAGATGTGGCGAAGGTAACAAGAGAAGGTGTCTTAAATTGGATACATGGACAATTATTTTTCTGATACTTTGCCTCCTTATGGTTGCAATTATGGTAGATGCTTGTAAATCTTGCAGAAGAGGTTGGGTGCTATGTTATATGTTGGTCTAACTGCGGAACATAAGGAATCTGCGACTATGTTTGCAAATGTAGTTGGTGCACAGGTGATTTCACAGCTAAGAAACGCCAAAGTTAGCATGGACACTTCAGCTGCCAATCAATCAGGTTTATGATTTCTATTACCAGTCGTCATGATTTCTATTTTGATGATGTATAGTGGTTCGACTAACTTCCCTTTTTGATTTACAGATAATAGCAGCTCTTCACCTTTGGATTCTGAGCTTGAGAGCAATGTTGACCAGGCAAGCTCCTCTCATTGTTTATGACTAATCATTTTGCTAATCCAGGATCTCTAATAATCCTGTTTGTCATTACAGAATAATGGTACCATCAACAAAAAGACCGCTATGCAAGATGAAGGTGAAGCACGAACGGAAAATGTAAGTCACCTCAGAAAATTGTATATCTGCAGTTCGTATGTTGCCTAATGTATATTTCTTGAGACATGCCAGATGACTGTTGCAGAACTTATTGAAGTTTATGAAGGGTGCATTTCAAGTCTACTGAAGACCCAATCACGTCGTCGATTCGCTTCTTTAAAGGAGATTTCTCCTGCAAATTTCTCAAAAGAGGTATGATTGAATACTTGATTGGGTTTTTATTTGCCAAAAATATTTATTCTGGCTAGAAATAGAACTTGGTGGATCCTTAAACAAAAAGCTTTGCTGATCCATTTATTTGGCTGATTCTTTTGTTCCTCAATACTATCTTGCAGGCACGGCGCCATATTTCTGATGCGGTTCTGCTGCAGATCAAAACACAAAATTTCCTGGATTTGGAGCTTTTTAAGTACGCTCAGAAAATCTTTACAATGAGACGTGTGCAACCGATGGGGAATCTTGATATGAATGTACTCCTCTTCGATTCCTTTTTCTAAATTTGTGCAAGTAATTCTTAATATCCATTTAGATTTCTCTTCCAACCAATACTCGAGTTTGACAACTGCTACGGTCTCGCACAATATCATGTGTTCTTACTAAAATGCAATAAATTTTCAGGATGAATCAGAAAGCAAATTCGATCAACCACGTGCCTTCAAGCTATGGAAAATTGTTTCAATACTAATGCTTTTTATCCTACTCCTTGTTTTCTTCCTATTTGCGACTGCTTGGGGAAGATCATCAAAAGTTAAGGTATGACTGTCAATCTTTGAAGTGGGAAAGTGAGTTTTTGCATCTCAGCATCTATTTGGTTTTGGGAAATCAGTTTGTTTATGTATTTTCAAAATTTTAAGTTCTGTGCATGTGATGAAACATTCGATTCATGTCGGGGTTAGATTGTTTGTTGTGCTTCCTTTGAATAGCTCATGATATTGAGTTCGAAAACGATATTGTTTGATGTATTATTGTGCTATTAGATGTCTCATTGATCATAGTATTGATTTTGAGAGATTCATACATAAGAATTATGCCATTGTGCATGTAAGCCTTGTTTAAGTTATCTACCGATGGTGTGACATAATGCTTAGTGTCATCATATTCGTAGGTGAAAGGATTTACAAAGGCGACAGGAAAGAATCATCGACGGTTTGTCGAAAGTAAGAGTTTACTTGAATAATGAAAATTTATTTGTACACCCTTCAATTTATTCGATGTAAACTGGAACTAGAGATGGTATATGATGCTAATGTTATCTTAATTGGTTTAGTTTCACAGTTTTATATTGATTTCGTTTTTCGTTTTCGATGTAAACTGGAACTAAAGATGACCATTTCTCGTGTGAGTTCCATCTGCTCCTTGTTTGGATTCTCGACTTCCTCATACCCTTTTGGTTCCTAAGAGATGGGACTATACTTGTGAATAACATCTGTCTTGTACTATGGAATGAGGTCGGTTTTGTTCGAGAAACCTTCCTTAAACAGTAAGCTTTATTGAGGGCGTGTTCAGTCTTTGGTTTCAGATGGAATGGAACACTCTTCTTGAGGGTGTTCAGGTGGGACATCTATCGTGTGAGGTCGTGGAGTGGTGCTTGACTTACTCTTCCTTTTTCTCTTCTTCAAGATAAAGGGGGGCTTGTGAGATGATTCCACGTCGATTGGAGAGAGAAATGAGTATTAGCGAGGACGCTAGGCCTCATAGGGGTGGATTGTGAGATCCCACATCAATTGAAAATGGAATGTTTCAATCTCTTTCTATCAAACATGTTCTAAAAATTTTGAGTAATCTGAAAGAAAAAGTCGAAAGAGGATAATATCTGTTAACGGTGGCCTTGGGTTTTGTTGTTACACGACTCGTCTTCTTTTCTTTTCAGCCTTGTTCTGGAACTCAACTTCTGGTTTCACGATTGTTTCCTTACTATGGAAATAGTGTTTTCCCCTTGTAGTGAGAAAATCTCATTGAGGGTTTTTTATCTCAGATTTGGACCTTTATGATTTCCTTGAAACTTGGCATTGCTTATTTCATCATCTTTAAACTCACGTGAAAGGCTTAACCGAACCTGCAACAGGATTAACCTCTATCCCTTTTGTTTCCTCAATTCTTTTCTTACGAGACGAACTTCACACACAATATGTCGACTTAAATGATCAGTTTAAACTTAATAAGTGTTAGAAAGATTGTTTAGGTAGAAAGTGAAGATATCCAAAGTTTGAATCTCTTACGCGTACGGTTCAAATAAATATAAATATAAAAATAAAAAGGAATTATTGTTTTAATGTAATCCTTATGGAATTCAAGTATCAAAATACTGAATCCAATCATGATTCTCAATCAATGGGTTTGGGTTAGATACAATTTCTTTTGACTTTGAAATTTTGAGTTTATAACTTTTATTATAATAATGATTAGAAGATTCAGGTCCAAGAACAACAATAATTTAAGAAATACTTATTTTGAATGAGATTATTTTTTTCGAAATTTATTTCAACTTTGGTGAGAATCAAGAATCGAGGTTTTTTTAAAAAGATATGAATTATGAAGGAAAAAAAAGTTTTTTTTTTTTTTTTTTTGTTGGTGCTTTCCCTTCCATACGAAGTCCGTTTGATTATTTCAACTTCAATTTTGACATTAAACATAATATGATATGAATTAAGACTAATCAATAAAAACTTTAGCATTTGGAGTATCAAGCGGGTAGGAAATAGGAGTGGGTGAAGACATGCACACCTGTCATATATAACTAGAAAATTGCATGTTTAGGGCATTGGATGGAGTTGAAATGTTATGCTCTCAGTGATTGATTAAGTCATCTCCGTGCACATATATTTGAAAATGAGACATGTATTCGAAGTAATTGATTGTGTTATCTCCATGTTTGAGCATGCATGTATTAAGAATAAGAACTCTACTCTAGGTGATCGATAGAGTTATTTCCCTGTATGAGCATGCATGTGTATAATGAGTTAAGAATAGGGTGTTTGAGGTCCCTATGTCAGGACGTTTCTAGTAGATCGAGCACCTAAGACCATGAACAGTGATCAAAAGTCTAGATCCTAGTGCTAACAAAATCAAGATGAGACTATGAGATTAAAATCGCCTAAATTCCCTAATAACCTAGTTAGCCTCTACAACACTCCAGAGATGACTAAGAAAACTTACTAGGCCTACTAGTAGTGTGAACGACATCATCAGAGCCTCAAACCTACTAGCAAAGGAGCACTGAGAGTTGAACGATCTTAAAGAAGGGTCATCCGGGGCATCAATCATATGTGTAGGAATGGTGGTTTAAATTTGTATCACATACCTTGGTTCCCGTTTTGTAATAAACTTTGAAACAACAATCAACTTGTAATTTTTTTTTGAATTTGTCTTTTTAATACTATGTTTTTTAAAAAAAATATGCAAAATTTTATCGTATTTTTCGTGTCAATCCACGTTATGGTCCCTAATTTAAAGTCTAAAAAAATTAGGTAGTGATAACCGTGCAAGAAAAATATTTTGGGTTGTTGTTTCGTTATTAGAGAAGCTTAGAACCAATAATTCATTACTCGGGACTTTTTTAATCTAATATTCCATTTAACAAAAATAAACAAAAATATCTTAGAGACATGGTTTTGCAAATGCAAATTATGTATATGACCCATGTTGAGATCCGAACGAGAATGTGTATGGTTATGATCAATGACTCAATATATTTGCACAGGTCGAGACTTAAAGAGGAGCTTATTAAGTAAAGGGTCGAAGGCAACTTTACTATGGAAAGTACTACTCTACCACCGAAGGGCAACAAGGATAGAGTTTGCATGGCTTTTTTTTTTGTTTAGTCTTCTAAAAGCTACAAGGATTTATATGTATATGTGTATGTATATGTGTATGTATATGTATATGTGTATGTATATGTATATGTGTATGTATATGTATATGTGTGTATATACACACATAATTCACACATATATATATATGAAGAAAGTAGTATTGTTCATAACAATCTGTATTTTTTAAAAATATAAAATTACGAACAGTTTTGCAATTAATTCCCAAACCAGTACCTTATTGATCGGCCATCGCCGCGCCGAACGTTCTTGGTCGCAAATTCAAGGATTTCAATCCTTCGCTCACGCCAGATTCCCAGAGACATCAACATAGATTTGATTTTCGCATGAGGCTTCTTGAGATTCTCGATTAGATTGAGATTCTTTACAGTGTCCGAGAAGGAGAGGTTCAGAGACCGACGGCATCGCTGATTCCGCCCGAAGCGGAGACGATGCGATTGGGTGAAAGATGATGAATTGAGGCATCGTCGTCGTGGAGAAATGAGTGTGAGCCATGCGACGGTTCATCCGGTCGAGGATCCCCCTACAACCGACGGCGAGGATGCGCCAAGGGTCAGGATGAAGGACATGGAAGGAATGCCTGGCACTCGCGGAGGACTCGCCTTGCGGTTCTCTCAGTTTATGTTTGCGGCAGCAGCTCTGGTTGTCATGGCTACTACCAGCGATTTCCCTTCCGTTCCTGCCTTTTGGTAAATCTCAATTTCCCTAAATTGAACCCTTCCCTCTGGATTTTGAATTTGTTTTATCGGTTTCTAGACTTTTCTTCTATATCTGTTGAATGAAAGGCTATTTGTTCTATCTGTAGCCTTTGGATCTACGATTGGTTGGTTTGCATCTTTTCGGGTCTACGGCAGAGAGAGTACTTCGAAGTAATTCGACTTGCTTTGGGAATTAGATTTAGTGTTGCAGTGAATTAGATTCATTTACTTTGTTTTAATTGACATTTTTACTTGGCTACGAAATTATGGTCGAACTTTCAGATAAGCTAAGGCCGAACTTTGCCAACGAGCAAGCGTTCTGTAACATGCATCGGTTGGTTGTTGTTGGTTCAATACGCTGAACATCCAATCGATGTCTATTAAAATTTAATGGCGAACTCAAGCGGAAGCTTTAGTATAGAAGCACTGTTAGGGATTACGACTCTCCACAATGTTATGATATTGTCCACTTTGAGCACAAGCTCTCATGGCTTTGCTTTGGGCTTCCCCAAAATGCCTCATACCAATGGAGATATATTCCTTATTTATAAACCTATGATCATCCTCTAAATAGCCAATGTGGGACTCCCTCCCAACAATCCTCCCCCCAAACAAAGTACACTATAGAGCCCTCAAACAGCCTTCCCTTAATTGAGCTCGATTCCTTTCTTTGGAGTCTTCGAACAAAGTACACCCTTTGTTTGACACTTGAGTCACATTTTTTACTACACCTTCGAGGCTCACAACTTCTTTGTTCGACATTTGAGGATCCTATTGACATGGCTAAGTTAAAGGCATGACTCTGGTACCATGTTAAGAATCACGACTCTCTACAATGGGATAATATTGTCCAGTTTAACACAAACTCTCATGACTTTGCTTTAGGCTTCCCCAAAAAGTCTCATACCAATGGAGATGTATTTCTTACTTATAACCCATGATCATCCTCAAATTAGCCAATGTAAACCCATGATCATCTTCTAAATTAGCCGATGTGGGACTCCCTCCCAACAATCCTCAACAAGCCCTTAGAGGACATAGTTGATATTCTTGTGAACTTTCTCTTCACCAACCATCAGTAATCATAGACCTGGATTAATTGGTTATGATGTGTGTCGTTGGAGCATTTACTGTTCCTATTTTTGGAGGTTGTGAGAAAGAACATAGGAATTATGAATTCCTGGACATATAAAGAATGTTGATAACTTGTTCTGATTGTTATTATGCATTATCGAGGTAATAGTCATTTCTAATGTGGCTGGTTCCAGGATCATTGGCAACAAATTAAGATTTATCTTTTTATCATTTATTTCATGTTTGAGTTCTTAGCACGTGTATCTAAATCTTATCCCGAGTCATTATGTGTTGCTGTTCCTTGAAACAATCAACCTTCTGCTATTTCAGCTATCTTGTTGCAGCAGCTGGTTTGCAAAGTTTGTGGAGCCTCTTGTTAGCCTCCATTGACATATATGCTCTGTTAGTGAGAAGATCACTACGGAATTGCAGGATAGTCAGCTTATTCACTATTGGTGATGGGGTATGTTTCTATTAAAAGGATCGAAGACTTTGATTTACGCATACTTTTCATCCATAGATTCACTCTTATGATCTTGAATACTCTGGATGCTGATTGCTGGATTGCTAGTTAGTTCCAGTCCATCTTTCTTGGACTGGAATAGTGGAAATAATGCGTTTTAATATACTAACTTTAATCCTGATGGTATTTCTCATAGGATTGTTACTAATCAATGAACTACTTGGTATGGTTAGAGAAAATCGATGCTGTTACTTTTATTTGAATTCTCTGTTTTAGTATGCAACGTGGTTTACTGTGATGAAATTCCCATTTGGTATTTGGATGCTGAGAGGAGTTTTGGACCCTTGTTAGGTTTAATGTTTCTCCTTAAGTTTCAATGGTTAAGGAGGCTTGTAATTGTTTCTTCGGTCTTATTTTGGTAAATTAATATTTTGCTTTTTTCCTTAATTCAACCATAAAAATGAAATAATAATTCCATTGTTGTATGCAGTCATCTCATATGATGACATTGAATACTCGGAGATCCCCTTAGAACTCCCATAATTTCTGCAACCATTCTCTTAGGACTAATAATCGATGCTGTACTCCTGACTTATTATCTGGAATTTTACTAGTCTAGCAGCTGACACTTGAATGTTTTCTCTTGCAGATCACATCTACTCTCACGTTTGCTGCGGCTTGTTCTTCTGCAGGCATTACAATCCTTATAGACAATGATCTAGATAGCTGCAGAGAGAACCACTGTGTACAGTTGGAAATCGCAACGGCAATGGCATTCATTAGTTGGTTTATTGCATTGCCTTCTTTCTTCATGAACTTCTGGTCTCTTGCATCCCGGTGAATTGGCTATGAAAAAGAAATATAGAAACTTGTAAGAGTATGATTTACCCTACTTGTAACAAGTGGGTATAATTTGCAACTGAGGGGATGAAATGGCTGATTTGATCTGGATTTTCGTTTAACACCATAATTATTGGAACACAGTCTGATGGTAATCGTATACAAACTGTTAAAACATTGTAAATTCGATGCAAGTTAGTTCCAGAAATGCAACATTTTCCATTCTTGTCACAACAAAAGAATTTGACATCATCAGAAATTTTCTCTGCCGGATACATCCTTATAATTCAAACCTGCGGCTGATGTATAGATAAGATGTTACAAAATTGTAGAACCCCCCATCCTATTTTCTTGGACTGTTACATAATTTTCAACAAGTGTACAGGGAAAAGAATCATAGGAACGACCAGTTGACGAAGGAGAAAGCAAGACAGTGCACGGTGGACTCGTCTTCTGCAAGAACCTTCCATGCAATGGCTTGTTCAAAGGAAGCATGGCGCCCCATTGTCGATATGCAAATTCCAGCAGGTATGTAAGCAAAGCCCTGGTCATAAACAAATAAAATTCAGTTAGTTTGCATTGTTATATCGCAAATCGACCTTGTAATAGCTAATCATCTCAAGTTTTCTTTATTTATGCAGTATAGTCACAACCAAGCATGGCTGACAATGAACTGAATGGGAGAATATATATAGTAGGTAACCTGGTGCATTAAATTGGAAAAATCAGCAGAGAAGGCCTTATGGGCCGAGTCGCCGAGAATCTTATCCAAAGTGATGTCTTGCAACGCAACCAAGGTCGTCTCCAACATGTCGAGGCCTGCTTGGTTTGCAAACATGAACACTGGGGGCAGTGACTGCAGCCATTCAACGCATTGCTTAGGAGACAACCACATAACATGGTTAAAAATGTTCTTTTTCTTTTTCTTTTTTGTTTCTTACCTTGAGGGAACAACAGAGAATTGCATCCTGATGATTCCATAGGTGTTTCAACACTGAGTCACCACCATCCACACTGTCTGATAGCACCAATTCTGTTCCAGTATGGCATCTGTGTGACAGAAGGAGATAGACACTCAATTTTCTATTTTGACGGTTTATTACATTGAATTCGAAGTATAATTTTCTTTTATAGGTTGGGAAAGAGAGAACCTGTAGCTATAGCAGATCCATCGAGCCAGGGTAAGAGCTTCTGGACAAGCAGATGATAGCCTTCGTTCCGATGGCAAGCTTAATCCAGAGGGAGACATGGCAACTGCAACCCTCTGCACAGCTGAAACGACACTCCGAACGTACTGCCTTGCCATCGCCGCAACATCATCCTGTAGGTTGCTACCAAACGAGAACTGGAAGGCAATAGTCAAAACTGATCTGAAGTTAGATGTTGATGCAGCAGCAGCATCTTGTGAAGCAGATGAACCAACTTCAAGATTGGAAGTGAGATCCATAGTGCTATTCAAGTTCTTCCATGTATGTTTTGAGTCACCCTGGATGATTCAACCAAACAAAAGCATGTTGGTTAAAAGTTCACTCATGTGAAAGACATATCGAGTCAATTACAATGTTTTTTGCAAGGAAAATGTCCTCGTAAGACATATAATCGACCAAGAGATCGAGAGTTTGAATCTTTCATTCTTATATGTTTAGATTATAGGAACCGTTGAACTCAACTGTTTCAGAATGTAGAGGGATGATCCTAAAACCAGAAGGCAGCAATACAGCATCATCAGGAAACATCTCATTGATTGGAGCAAACACAAGTTCGGAACACGCTCCAACTGCATTCTCATCGATTCCAGTACACATCTGCCCAACACGAGAAATGAAGAGAGATAATAATAAATTCATCCAACCACAACAAAATATCATTTGATTGCCCAGCTGATAGAGGGGACTGTAACGACCCAAGTCCACCATAAGAAAATATTGTTCTCTTTGAGCTTTCTCTTTCGGGCTTCACCTCAAAGCTTGCTAGTGAAAGATTTCCACATCCTTATAAATAATGCTTTGTTCTCCTCCCCAACCAATGTGGGATCTCACAATCCACCCCATTCAGAGCCCAGCGTCCTTGCTGGCACACCGCCTCGTGTACACCCCCTTCGGGACTTAGCCTCCTCATTGGCACATCACCCAATGTCTAGCTTTGATACCATTTATAACGACCCAAACCCACTGCAAGCAGATATAGTCCTCTTTGAACTTTCCCTTTCGATTTTCTCCTCAAAGTTTTTAAAACATATCAGCTAGGGAGAGGTTTTCACACCCTTATAAAGACTCAAAGTTTTTAAAACATGTCAGGTAAGGGAGAGGTTTTCACATCCTTATAAAGAATGTTTCGTTCTCCTCCCCAACCAATAGAGGGATCTCACAAGGGTGATGATATCAATGCAAAGGAGAAAGACAATACCTGCAATAGATGAACATCCCGGGACATAAAAGTATCTTCTTGAGCAAGAGGGTGGCTCTCAAGCCTTACAACTTCAAGCAACTGGATGAACAAAGACAAACATCATAATTATCCTAATATATTCAAACTAAATTGTTTAATTTGTATATAAATACCTCTTCTTGTTCGATTGTATGGCCGAGCGGCATGATGATTTGGCTCCCTGTAAACCTGGTCGGTCTCATGCCCGGGTATACATACGAACCAGTTTTCAACGACGCAGCGGAATACGCATCAACATTGAAATCAGCCCACTCCGATCGATGTTCCCTCAAGAAACGAATTAAAGCAATTGGAGGAACATTCTGAAAGGAAAACCATAATCAACAATCTAATTAGCTGAAATCATAACAAGATATCCACTGAAGTTTCATCGACCTCAGAAATAATTATGAACATTACTTGTATAAGCATGGAAGCCTTTGCACAAAGAACACCCGCATGGAATGCAAGAGAGTTGACAGGATCATACGATGTATTTACATTCTTGCTTGAATTTATGGCAAGACTCACATCTTCAGCTCCATCATAGTTCATCAAAGACCATCCATCATCATTAAATCCATTAACAGCCTCATTAAATCCTCTACATTAAGGTAACAAAGTTCAAATATCGTTAAAAGCTACGGGGAAGATCGATAAGACGTGTTCATCGTGTAAAAATTTACAGACCTACCTGCTTAATCTTTGGCTAAACGTTCGAAGAACGGCCGGTTGTCTGCCTAAACTGTATACTACTTCACCACTTGTTTCTTGAGCCACTTGCCTGACGTAGAGAAAAGCCTAAATGTCGAACACGATGATGAGAAGACGAAAACCAAACAATACAGAAACATATCTGAATTTACTCACTGCTATAGTCATTTTCTGAGCGACGGCCTTTGACGATTCGTAAAGTGGTCTCACGACCTCTGGCACGCTCCAAGGCTATTGAATTTATACAATCATTTAGAAATGTGCCTCCTGAAATAGTATTTACAAGTGAAAACTGAAAAGACAAACCTCGAGATTTAGGTGATCTACAATGTGGATGATTGAACCTCCGCCATCACAAGGACGAATCAAATAACCACTGGGAAGCATTTCAGCTCGCACGAACTGAGCAGCAGAAGCTGAATTAGGCCCCGCGCCTGACCCAGACAGCGATCTCTCACAAACCTGTAGAAAAAAAGAAGTTAGCATACACAATGTTAAAATATAATGAACATTGCAGAGTCGGAGGCGCTTTTACCGCAAGATTTCCATTTTCCAAAGTTTTCGTGTATCTTAGAGTCCAAAAATCTCGTGCAGGTGCTAGCGTAGTCGGAGCGTAAACCTAAAGTAATTCAACCATCATTAGTTCCCTCTCAAAATGTCATTAACTACTGAACAGCAAAACTGTAATAGATGTCCATATCAAAGTTCACCTGCGTATAAACAAGTTCGATCGTCCCACCATTACCAGTGGGAAACATTGTAAAGACTTCAACGCTCCGGCAATTACGAAACCAAGATGGGCGATCTTTAAGGATCTCGTCAATCTGCAGAAGTCATTATGATAGTGAACAACAAATAAAAGTTCACCCCATTTACGACCATAATATACATGTTGCTAGATCAATAGTATGAGCATTCTTGCCTTCATGGGCTCTAAACTGACAAGACCACAGGCACGAGCCGCTACTCCACTGCAACTCTGTGAAACGGCGAAGATTCCCACCGAATCCGGACCAGGCTGGACGATACAAACCCAGATTAGAATTCATATTAAGCAAAGGATGAGCTAACGAAGGAATGAATTTAGAACCTTCATCCCAGGCAACTGGACCCAATCGATAGCAGTTCCTGTAGCCTTTGACAGGAAGGCTGCCAAAATCTCCTCTGCAATAGACAGGAGTCTGCCATGATTGTTATAGATTAGATAAACTAAAATCAACCTTAAAGGTTGTTAAACGACGAAATAGCATAAGAACATGTCTCTAAAATTACCCAGCAGGGCTACTAGCATCTCTAAGTGAATGCTGAGGGGTAGTAGCCACTGTGTCACAGCTTGCATCAGTAACTGGTGCTGCTGGTGCCTGCAAAACAATTGAACTCCTAAAACACAATGATTCACAAAAACACCGATCAAAGTGAATCAAAACAATGATCAAACAGAAATACATACGTTAGCAGTTTGCAAATGTTGTCGCATAGACCCATTCTCACAAATGAGCTGAGACACATGTTTCTGTAACCTATCGTTCTCCTCCATCAACAGCTTGTTCATGGCCGTCAATTTACTATTCAATGACTGTAAACGAGAAGCCTCTTTCCTCTGTTTCTCTCTACACCTACAAACCAGCCAAACCCCATAAGAAATTCCATCATCCCAAACAAATAATACCCTCAATCAATCATTTCAAAACAAGAACCAAAAGAAGAAAAAAAAAAACCCCATCAAAGTTCTTATACCTGCGGTTCTGGAACCAGACTTTGATCTGCTTTGGCTCGATGTTAGCCAAAATGGGGCAATCACGAACTAGCTGCTGCCGCCGCAAAGAGCTCGGTTTAGGACATTCCGCATAAACTCGCTCAAGAGCTTCCACTTGCTCCGTCGTGTAACGGACATACTTCCCGGTGCTATCAAGGTGGCCATCGATACCCCCATCGCCACTCTCTCTGTGATGGGCCGTAGCCATAGCCAT